TTTATTATAAAATTAATTTGAAAAGAAGGAAGGGACAGTCATTCTCTTTAGAAATTGTGTGCACACAAACAATTCCATTGTCAGTGCTTTCATATCATAGCTTCCTTTCTTGGGAACGGAAGAAAACAACTTGGCTGTGTATCCAACCACTCTATTCACTGAACAACATACCTCTTCTCCCCTTGGTAATATATGTAGCCTTCAGCCATAAGGGACAATTCTGAGAAATTCACTTGACAGTAGTGAAAAGGGATGGTGGCTATAATAATCTGATAAATGTTCTGGAAAGCATGCTCATTCAGATGGAAGAATCTTTCTTGTTGTTAAATAGTGCTGCAGTTTGGCTTCAGGCTGCTTTAGCATCTGTGGATTCGTTCTGTTCATTCATCCTGATCTTCTGCAAAAAAAGGGATATGGACTAAGGCTCCCTGTCATTTAGAAGCAGGGATTCCTAGACCTTGTCATTCATAGATTATATTGATCTTAGAACAATGGCAGAAAATGCTCTAGTTTATAAGATTATTCTGACTTTTACTAGAATCTGTGGAACCATCATAGCTGGACATACTTAGAATTAAAGAAATTTGAAGTTACAAATTAGCTCTGAGTAACAAAGATGAAAGAATATTAGACCTTCTGGCTAATGCCACACCATGAGTAATGGTTTTTTGCCCCAGATTGTGGCAATATAATTTAAAGTAAAAGAAGTGAAATTTCTATAGCTGCTTTAGAGCAACCAAAATTCAGAAATTCTGGTTGAGTTAGCTACTTGGAGATTGATCAGTAAATTCTAATTTATTTTTACCCAGTTCTAATTTAAAGGCTTCGGTCAGTGGGTCAGACAATTATAAGATATGGTTTGGAATTTTGTTTTCTGCCATTACAAGTTGTTTTTTGTTATTAAATTGGATGTTTCCTATTTTTAAACTGTTGTCTGCCCTGAAAACCTTATGATATAGGCAGAGAATGACTAGGAATACACTCGACAAACTCGCCATGTCACGTTGCTATCACATGACATTTTGCAACATTTTTCCCATTTGTGGAGCTGGAATGGGTGTAGCCTGCGCGTAACGCATCCTGCCCACAGGCTCCCAGTTTGACACCCCTGTTCTAAATATTTTACCATATTTTTCTAGTTTTAAGATTATGGAATTATAAAATCCTTTAGAAATGTAATAAGAGCATGAGAGTTCATGAAGAAGAATTAGAACATTTAAGATAATTGTACGTTTTTTGTCTTCCTTTTCATAATCCAAGTTTGCAAACCACTGGCATTCATTGTAAAATAGCTCTGTAGCCTTAAACTGTTGTGGTATTTCATCAGTTCAGACAGTGGTATTTTTCTTTTGGTTCACTTTTGGCAATAAATTAAAACTTTCTCTGAGAAAAAAAGTTCATTTGTCTAGATTTTATCCCAGAGATTTTATCCTTTGAGCTTGCTTCAAATGGTTTATACTGAACAATTTTAGACTGTCCATATTTGGATGCTTCTATAAAAAAATATATATTTCATGCTTGGGACCTACAGTATTTTACAGATTTATCATCATTTTCTTTAGAATGATCTTCAACAATGTTTTTATTGATCCTTGGTTATGCAGGTGAAATGTTTTGCAGCCATTCTATATCTTGAATATGAATTTTAGATTAGTCATTTACTTTGCCATATACAATTGAAGCCACTTTAACAAAGTACAACTTTAATCTACTTTTTACTCTCCAGCTCTCACAAATTAGTTTGAAGCTGACTCCTAATTGTGTTCATTTCTGCTGCCCTCAAAATACTGAGAATGAGTAGGAAGCACTACAAGCCTCTCACTTTTCTATCTGGATGACTTACAGGAAAGCTCAACAGCTCAAACATCCTGACCCATTAACAAAAATTCCCATCTCCCCAGAAAAATAAACTGTTAGCACCATTTCCCCATTCAGTTATAAATATATATTTCCCCTGTTGAAAAGCTGCCATTACTACTGTTTCTCTTAAAAAGTATCAGCTCTCTTTGGCTGGAAGGACAGGTAGTCCTTACAACAATTCATTTAGTGACTGTTCAAAGTTACAATGGCACTGAAAAAGTGATTTATGACCATTTTTCACAACTACAGCGTTGCAGCATCCCCATAGTCATGTGATCAAAGTTTAGATGCTTGGCAACTGGTTCATATTTCATGTTCTCCTTTTTTGCACCACCTCACAAGCAAAATCAGTGAGGGACGCTGGATTCACTTAACAACCAGGTTACTAACTTATCAACTGCAGAGATTCAATTGTGGCAAGAAAGCTCATAAAATGGGGCAAAACACACTTAACACATGTCTCACTTAACAACAGAAATGTTGGGCTTAACTGTGGTCGTAACCAGAGGAGACTCTGTATTTTTGCAGCCAGATTCTTTTCGATATAATCCTACACATAAGTTGTAGATGTTACCATAAAGACTGTAGAATTATAAAACACTGTGGAGGATGAAGATAGGACTCAGTGATCAGGTTGCCTGTGTTTCTTCTCTAGCATAGGTAGGTTGCTGCAGATACTGGCCTTGGGGCATGCCTGCCCGCGAGAACTGGAAGGAGTGAGGAAACAACAACAAAGCCAAGGCTAACTGTCAGATTTAATGTACAAACACACACACAAAAACAAACAAGGACACAAAAGACTGGGAAGTCTAGAGCCAAGCTAAGAGCAGCTCAAGGCATATACAGAGTGAGCTTCAAAGACTGCTTGCATGTTATAATTCCTATCTGGATGCTCTGCTCTTCTTCCCAAGATATAATCAGTCATGGACAATATAAAATAAAGAGAGAGTTGTATTTTATGTTGTTTGATTTTGCGGGAGGAAGTGGTTGAGCAAGATGCTTTCAATTGCCTTGTTTTCTTAGCGTATCCACTTCATTCCTTTGCTGCTGTTGCCATGGCTTATTAGTTTGCCTTCCGCTAGGATCACATCCCACAAGTCCTTAGAAGCAGAAGACGACATCTGGAGCGCTTAGAATTCGTTTCCTTGCTCTTCTCATTATTAACTTTTTTCAGTGGAAGCAGCAACCACAAGAAGGAGAAAGTAGCAAACCAGAGCCTAGGCAAAGAGGTGACCGGTAGTGGATCCTTCCTTGAACAGGGAACCCCTCTAGCAACTGCCCCCAAATGTCATCTCTGCAGCTAATGAAATCAATAGATGAAACAGTAGCTCGGTTTTTGTGGTGCATTTTTAACAGCTAATTCAATAAGATTTGATGATGTAGCCCAGGAGTGCCCAACTCAAGGACCAAGGCCCGGATCTGGCCCACAGGGTATTTAGTTCTGGCCCGCAGTGCTTCTGCCAGCAAAAACGGACTCTTGGGCTCTGTTTTCGGCTGCAACCCTCTGCCAGTGAGCTTGGGAGATCTGCATGCTCTGTTTTCACTGGCAGAAGGTTGTAGGAAACTATGGTAGTCGAAAACAGAACTCGAGAGCCCATTTCCGCTGGCAGAGTGCTCAAGCCACACAGGCACCCCTGACAGGAGTGATGTTGAGCTGGCCATGCCCCCCTCTGAGCCCCTCCCGAGGTCAAACATAACCTAATGCGTCCCTCAATGAAATCGAGTTTGACACTCCTGAGGTAGCCTATTTATTTTTCTTCCATTTCGGGTGGTTTTGCCCAACTTTAGCTTCTCAGGTTAAAGTTGAAATCCTTAGCAATCTAGCTTCTTACCCGTCTCTTTGTGCAGTTGAAAAAGCTGTTTTTAGAGCTGCTTTTTTGCACTTCCAGAACAGCTTATTGGAGAGCATTTCTCTACTCTTGAAGAGGGTCCCTAGGGGACCTCTGGTCAAGCAGAAGCTCCTCTAATGATCATACATTACAGAGAACTAATTATTTCAGGGCGGATCCTTCTGCAACCATAACAACATCATTATCACATTAGGATGTTTGCAGAACATCCTCTCTCTGTGTCTCTTGCATTTTGATAGCTGTCAAGTTCCATGTAGTTGAACAATTCAATTTAAGAACATAAATTTCAGAAACACATTCTTTCCGCCAGCCAGTGATAAAAGCATCATCTTGAAAATTGTAAAGAAATCGCCTCCAGGCTGACTTATGCAAGCTAATTAAACATTTGAAATATTTGCTCCCCATGTCTGGGCTATGCTGCCTCCTCTGACACAACTGAACTCTTTTCACCTGCTTGTCACAATGGGGATTAAAAGCAATTCCCAGCTATTCAATACTATCCAGGGAGGATTAAGCAATTATGAAGGCTACTGGTACAAAGTAAAATTGAATGGAATATTTCAGATGGAGGTTGTTTGTTATTTAATTCATCTGAAAAAATAATAATTGCAGAGGGTGATTGTTTTAATATGAATAATAGCTGGTTTTGGTGGTGAGTCCCTGAGGAAGAAAGCTGCTTTGAATCTAGCTTGCTTTTACATGTTTTTTTTTCCCCTGCAGTTTTTTTTCTGGTGGCTAATTGTGACTTCCTTTTTGCATTGTATCTGATTATTCTGTTCATTTACATTTTAGAATTTAAACGGCACTTCATCTGAAATATAAAGTGAGAATGTGACAAAAGATGTTTTGAACTGCATGTCTCTCAAATGCTGTAATTTTCTTGATGGGCAGAATTGATTGTGATTGCTAGTTGACAGCTGGCGCAATTGGATTGTGAAGTATGAAATGGCCCAAGTAATTAAAACTTTAAAATTAGGAATTTGCAAAATGTTATTTAGATATTTCAAATCCAGATGATTTACATTTTGAATAAAGTAGCTGTTTCAGTGTTTAACTGAGAATTATACGCCTTTAAAAATTAGAAGCATTGGCAGTATTGAGCTGAACCAGTTATGGGTAATAGGGATCACAAATGGACTTAATTATCTCATAAATTGGTACTCTTTAAGTATCAATAAATCTTCCTTTTCATACTGCTTATTTATAATTAATGTACTATACCTTGCAATAAATATACCTTGCAATTCAGCATTAACCTCCATAATTCTAGATGTTTCTGTCATCACTTAGGTTTCGTCACAGCCCTAATTGCTTTTATTTAAGAGACTGGATCATCCACAGCTGGATTAGGAAGTGCCTTAAGTTTGGTGCACAGGATAAAGCTTTGTACACTCTACAAAACAAGGTTTTTAAATTTTATTATATTTTATTTTGCATGTAAAAAAAGGAAACTAACGAGAGAAAAACAAATGTCTTTACAAAATCATACTTTGCTCATGTACTCATCAAAACTAATGTTACATAGGAAATTCTTGACATTTTATTTATTAAATTTATTTATTTATTAAATTTATTTATTTATTAAATTTATAGGCCGCCCAATCCCAGAGGACATGTTACACTATTAATTTTTATAACAGTCTTCTTAGCATGCCTAAAAAATTGAAAAGAAAAAAAAATGGAAATGTTTATAAACATTATGTGCAATCCAGAATTTGCAGTCCTCATATTGGGCTTCCTGGTGAGAGAAAATCTGGTCCAAACAGAGCAAAAAGGAAGTTGATCAGGCCATTATATAATAGATGAGAGAATCATAAAATTTTTACAACCATGAGTGCATATGACTTCTATTTCCATTTGATTCTTTCCAAACCATTAATACTTAGTTCAAAAGATCCAGAATATCTACAAAAGAGAATAATTCTTTTAGAACAGTATTAATATATGAAATAGCCTAAATAGTTGAATAGAAGGGACCCCTTGGCACAGGGCCACATTAGGTGAGTCTCATATCACGTCAAAACATATTGATTACCATATCTGCAATAATGATCTGTACCCATCTAGTTTTATATATATATGCAAATGTCCAACTGACACAAAATAGTGATTTTTTATTTAAATATAACTTTAGAATTAGAGAACTGTGACACACAGATACCCAAATAGTCTTCCATTCACATTTGAACACTATAATTCCTTACTCCATTTCTCTTTATGTTTTTAAATTTCTCAGTATATTCTAACAAGGATTCATAAATAGTTATTGTAGGCTTTATTTGCAAAGACATATTAATCTTTTAACATAAACGTTTAAAAAGGGGACACATTCTGTAGCACTTAAGCTATATATCTGGATGCCAGGAAATATTGTTATTCAAAAAATTGCTAATACTTGGATTGCAATTACCATGTTTTCCCAAAAATAAGACAGGGTGTTATTTTCTTTTTACACACAAAATATGGCTTGGGCCAGGGCACCTCCTCTGCCACCGCCTGCCGCCACCGCCATCCCAGCATGGCTTTTTCGGCGGCTTCCAAACTGAGTCTTCTGGCTTTGGCCACTCTGGGCGTATGCTCTATAGTTGTACGCTCTGCTGACAGCCAGCCCACAACCATAGAGCATACACCCAGAGTGGCCACTGCCAGAAGACTCATTTGAAAGCTGCCAAAAAAGCCATGCAGTGGAGGTGCTCTGGCTCTGCGGCGAGAGTTGGGTCAGGGCATCGTGAGACTGGGAGGCGCGCAAGTGGGAGCAGAACAGCCGCTCACGTAATCCCCCTCTCCAGCCGTGCAGAACGCCATTCAATGGCATTTGAAAGGCGGCAAGCTGCGAGAGCCGGGCGGCGGCGAACAGGCACTCACATGGCTTGGCGATACCCCTAGGTCAGTGAATGGTGCTGTGCCCAGCTGGAAAGGGGGTTTGCCGGGTGGCTGCTGTGCCCGGCTCTTTGGGAGTTCACTCGCAAGAGAGCAGCCATCCGGCAAAACCCACCCCCTCTTCAGCCAGGCACAGCGCTGCTCACCAACCTAGTGGTATCTCGAAGGTGCCAAGCAACACGATCACCTTTGCCACCCCCACCCCCCAGTTCCCGCGGCTTGGCACCTTTGGGATACTGCTAGGTTGGTGAGCGGTGCTCTGCCTGGTTGGAGGTGGAGGGGTTGTCCAGGGGGCTAATTTGCGGGGGAGGGCTTATATTTTTGCCCACCAGAAAAATGTGGCAGGGCCTTATTATCAGGATATGTTGTATTTTCGGGGAAACATGGTATTCAAATAATGAGCATGTCTGATTTCATCTAATTAATGAATGTATCAATAGCAATAGCACTTAGACTTATATACTGCTTTACAGTGCCCTGTCTAAACAGTTTACAGAGTCAGCATATGACCCCCAACAATTTGGGTCCTCATTTTACCTTACACGGAAGGATGAAGGCTGAGTCAACCTTGAGCCTGGTGAGATTTGAACTGCCATATTGCAGGTAGTCAGCAGAAGGAGCCTGCAATACTGCACTCTAACCACTGCCCCACCGAGCCTCTAATATATTAATACATTCCACACTGCATCTGAGTTCCTCAATAAAAGGATTACCTTGCTATTTTAAAATTTAAAGTAAGAGTTATTTTTACTTGGTTTTTTTATAAAGAGCATTAATTAGTTATGCTGAAATTCAGAATAGATACAGCACTTCATTTTATATCCTCTTCCTTTTTTACATATTACGTATATGATCTGGCCCAAGTAAAGAAATACTTTCTTGATTTCAAGAAGAGTAATTTAACCCCTGCTTAGGTCTCTCTCACTGAAATCCATCAGTGAATACCGTTAACACTTGCCTAGACTGCGATTAACTTGTGTATTAAGGGATTTGATAAATAGCTTGATTTATTTAATCAGACTGCACACACTACAGCAGGGGTGTAAAACTCATGGCGCTATCATGTGACGTATCAGGACTTTCCTCCCCTTCGCTAAACATAGCATGGGCGTGGCCAGTATGTGACACATCCGTTCCATTGGCTGGAGGTTTGACAGCCCTGCGCTACAGTAAGCATTTAAAGGAATGATTTCTATTTAACTGAAAACTGTTTTGAACAAAAACAGAAATATCTGTCTGAGCCACTTGCCTGTGCTCCAAGAGCCACATTCCTTGAAGTACTGTCTTATGCTTTTGTCTGGCACTCATGTTAGATTTTTGAGGTCTCCTGCTTCAGCAGTACAAAGATACTTCAATGTCAATGTGCAATTAAAGGAAATGGTTCTTATTGCTAAATATTTTGAAGGCTTGGATGAAAGGATAAAGAAACATGTTCTTCTTTCCTGGTGTGCCAAAGCTTAGCAGGAAACAAAAGGAAATGGCAGAAATTTCAGACTACCATCTCTCCTTAGCTTGGAAGGCAAAGGCCATTTATATAGTGTGTGTTGGAGAATATAATACGTGTCCCTGTGAGAGCTCATGTCTGTGATTAATGAAAAATAAGAGTACTAATTTCCCCGTAAAAGTTCACAAGTAGAAAGTGGCTGGGTACATTCACGTAGCCAGATGGTTATGTGTCCTAATCTCCAATGATAAAAAGAAAACATAACATGAGGTCTGCTGGATGTATAGTTCAGCCTCTCTTCTTGATTAAAAGATTAGCTTAATGGAAGGGAGGTGGGAAAGCTGTCATGGATTTCCTGAAGCATAAGTCAATTAATGCTGCCTCAGCTGAAGTAGCATTTTTCAAACTTGGTAACTTAAAAGATGTGTGGGCTTCAGCCCCAGAATGCCGGGAGCTGAAATGTACCAAATTTAATGTTGCCAAGTTTATAAAACACTGATCCTGTGCTAGCCAGCGGGTACAACAACTGTTTTCTTCCAGCACAAGCTGCTCTGCAAATTCTTTCTTATGTTCCCATGTCCAGCTATGAAAGCGAAAACGAGCGGAATGCATACTGATAGACAGCTCTTTAGATTTGCTCAGCCATGTCATGCATTCAGGCCACTATTCAGAAGTACTAGAAGTACGGCATTGACACAACTTTGTTCTCTTTTCATTTTTTTCCAGGTCCAGTTTGGAATAATTCCAGATAGTTTTACCTTCAATTTATTATTGGATTCTTTTATAAAAGATGAGAATTACGAAAGTAAGGAACAAATATTTATTGAGCATTAGGTATTATGTATATTTCAAGTGTTTCACCCTTAATGTGTATTATGCATTTCTATCTTCCTGGACAGGGCCATTTTTGAGCCTATTTCTTTATAACTAATTTGCCATGATTTTAGGAATAGATTTTTTTTTTAAATAAAGGAAAGGGATAATAGAAGTAAAGCAGGTGGCAAGATTGTATGCAATGACTGAATTCTTCTCATAAAAAGATATATAGATGGTCCTCAAAATATAAACATTTGTTTAGTAACTGTTCAAAGTTACAGCTCTGAAAACGTACAACTGATTTTTGCCCCAGAATCCCTGCAATTACGTGATTAAAATTTGGGCAACAAAGTTAGGGATATTAAATTAAACCAGAATAAAAGTGCAAGTGGTGCAAGTTCATTTCATATGTTGTGTCTCCCCATCATTTTACACTTCCAAATTGACTTTTTAAATATTACTGAAAGAATTAGATCAAGTTGTAAAAGTCAGCAGATATTTCAACAGAATATTCTACCATTCTGCAGTTTTAGGAATTCAACTTCCCTTTGCCAAACCAGCTTTCCTTTTTTCAGGTTGTGGGAAGGCCATAATATCATGAATAGGGCACAGAATTGAATTTTCATTCCAATATCTTCCATACTAGAAACAGTATAACAATGAGTAAATGGGACTTCTCTTGGAGGGATTGCGTGATCAGTTTATAATGAAATTTGGATGTGATCACCTGGATTCTAGAAAAGACAAATCAAGATGTATGCCCAGGAATAACGCTGAACAGCAGGAAAATTAAAAACTTCAAAATCAGATGACAATGATAGTTTAGGTAAAGAAAACCAAAATATTTCTCTTTCCTTAATTTATAAATCTGATAAATAGTATTAGTATAGGTATTTAATTTGGATATTAAAAGTATTAATGTGTGAATTCAGTCAAGTATATACTGTATATATCAGTTATGAAATGATATTAATTTTACATTCTCTTTCTTTCCCTATAAAGTCACTGGGATTTTTAATTATTTGTTTATGTCATGTTAATCTGAAATAAACATATGTTCATTTCTATAAATACATTGGTGGGATAATTATTGTAATATATTTTAAGCAACCATTTTAATGCTTGTTTTTATTGTTTTTAGATGCTATGGCTGCAGTGACTGAGATAATGATACAGGAAGATTTTACTAAGGTGTCTACCCAACTTCTCTCTCTTTATACCATGTACAAATATTTGGCAACCAAATCAGAACTTACGGTAAGCTACTTGCATAATGAAACGTTTGTGGTTATGACTAAAGAATAATATGATTCAAAAGCCGCATGTCTGTACTTTCAAAATATGATTTAAAGCCAAGTTGAAGAGATTTAGTGTTTTTAGGTGTAATTTAAGTTGCCAAGCTGTGCCAGCTGGTATATGGCCCTTGGTTGACCCCTTGGTTACTCTTCCTTCTCCCCAAACATCTTGTTTTCATAGTTGTTTTTTTTAAAAAAACGAACTAAAAAAATAGTCTTGTGTAAAAAAAAATCCTGAAAAAATATACTCTCTTCCTAAACTCAGTGAAGCTCAGTTTGTATCTGAGATTTTAAAGAAGTCTTATATTTACATCCACAAGTGAAGGAAGTTGCTGTTTTGTGCCTGTCGCTGTTTTCGCATTGCTGTCCGCGTTCTCTGTGGGACGGAGAACAGGTATAGCGAGAAAGGGAGGAAAGAAGGGAAAAGAAAGAAAAGAAACGCTTCCAAGTTGAAGTTAGTTCCACATGACATTATGGACATGCCATAAGTTGTCATAGCAACAGTTTAGAACTGCTTTGACGTGAGTTCATCCATGTTTTCTTTTTTGAACTTCAGAGCAGGGGTGTCTAACTCTGGCAACTTTAAAATTGTGGTGTTCCCCAAATTGGCTGTGTAATATTGGGAGTTGAAGTTCATAGGAGTCTAGTTTACAGCCCTGATATTCCCTGAAGGCTACCTACCCAAATATTAATAGGGCCCAAGCCTGCTTAGAGTTCAGCAAGTCCTCAAATGAGACCTAAACAAGAGCCGTGCCACTTGCTGAAGCACATTACAGATAAGAGAGATACTTTGGTTAACAGAGAATTGGGAGGGGTGTATAACACTTTTCGGCTTTCACATTTTTCACACAATATTTCCTATTTTCAGTGGGAAGAAGAGAAAAATCTTGGAGCATCTCTGTTGTTAGTGGGCCTCAAGCAGACTAACACTATAGGATTTAGTTCTCAGCTATATGGTCTTGCCCTTCTTGGTAAGTTTTAACAAATATTTAATTAAAAAATATTTCTGAATTGCTTTATTGGTTCGTTTGGAGTAAATGGAATTTCTTCAATTAAGTACTATTATGCCTTGATGCAATAGAAAATAAAAACTAAATCAAGTTAAGCATATTGGCAGTCAGTCCACATAATGCAAAATTCACCTGGCTGGCCAATGTCCCACTGAATATTTGAAAAGCCTAAAAGGTAGGATCTATCTTTCTGTCATCCTCTCAACCACCTTCCCACAAAAACATTCATCTGAAAAAGGGGATAAGTGGTAACAAGTAAGCATTATTCTTTAGTTATATATGAGGAAGTCTGTTGCTATTTTCTAATTAGAGCCCCAAGATTTTCTATGTAGCATTATAGATTACTTTGCTGAACCCTCAAATTCACTTACTAAGAACATTACTAGGTATTGGTTTAAAGCTGAAGAGGGCCTGGACCCACCTTTAACTGGGGCCAGACTGCTCAGAGAAAGATATATTTGAAATGTCTTCCTTGTAGCCCAGTTTCCTTAAAAATTCTACTTGTACGTGTGGGAAGTTATTTCTGTAAAATCAATTATTATTTAGTATGTATTAGGAACCATAAATTAACATTTAAAGAAGAGAGAATGTTCCCTCTAGGGTAGTCTCTAATCCTTCTATTCATTCTGGCATTTATCTTTTGATTAAAATTCAGCATACAATGTCTGAATTCCCTGTATTTCAGTGTCTTTTATATTTTACAATGGCTTTATTGTATCCATTAAAATTCCCTATGAATAGCTGTTAATTGGCATACTACCTTCAGGTGAGAGAGAGGCTTTATCAAAAAGTGTTAGATAGATACCCTTCTGCATGCATTGTTTCTCAGCTGTGATAAGAGCGAAGATGACACATCAGGATTAGATGCTGAACCTGATTTTACCTTATGGTACAGTTTAAAAAGTGGCAGTAGAGATCAAAATCGTAAACCAATTAGCATCACATTTTTATCCCACTTCGGTTATCCTTTTAAAAATCTGTCTTTGATTAGCATTATTCAAATCTTTAAAATACATCCCTGAACAGTTTAAAAAGGAATTGGCTTTAGCAAATCGCTTTACTTCTGTAGACAAAAGATTCACCTGAACATTCTGAAGGTCAGAAGCTATTTTCTGTTGTGCTATATGCATTTTGCAATTATGCCAGATCTAATGGAATATATTTGTAAAAAGAATAAAAGATGATCATTTATTTATGAAATGTATATGCTGCCCATTTCACTTTCAAGCAACATTCACGTGCATGCAGGGACCCCTTTTTAGTTATATTGGTGATTAGAGGTGGAGACCCTGTGAGAGCTGTATGCAATGAAATTTCACTTTAATGTATGCCGATTAGTGTACATTCAAAGTGACAATAGTCTAAGTCTATACCTGGCTTATAATATTACTGTATATTTTAATTTTCCAATGTTTGTAATTGTTTTTTACTTTATTTTAAATCTGTTTACCACCCAAAGTCACTAGTTGAGATGGGAACTGTATCAATCAGTCAAATAAATAAATAAGAATATAGAACTTAATCTCAACCAGGCCAAGAAATACTTATTGAAACCAGACACTCTTTCCAAGAAGAACTATGCAGATGTTGTTTCAACATTGTTTAAAAGCCCTTTTGGTGAATTGTAGAGAACTATGAAAGGAAAGGGAGACACTCAAAAGCATTCTGAATGGATTTCTTGACCATCCCTCTGGGAATTTTGTATAGCAGGGGTCCCCAATCCCCGAGCTGCGGATTGGTACCAGTTCATAGCCCATTGGGAACCGGGGTGTGCAAATGGCGTGTGAGCGCACAAAGCTTCATTTGTGCATGCCCGGGATCTAGGTTGCTTGCAAAAGCATACCCTCCCACTCCTCCCCACCACTGCTGCCACCCTCACTGTCACCGCTGCTGGTCTGAAAGATTGGGGACGGCTAATATACAGTACCTCCTTCCTGCTTTGAATCTAACTGCAATAATAGAGGAGGAGATTTTGTTGTTATTATGGCCTACATAGAAGAAGGTGTTAAACTATTCCTTTCCATATGCTATAATTTCAGTTAAATTTTCTGCCAACCCACTAGGACTCCATATTCATTTTATAAAGAAAATGCTGACATACTTTCTAGTATCATATTCATCACCACATCTTTTTGATTCCATGCGTTAGCTGTGTTTTCTGGTTTAAGCAACAGAGTAAATAGCTGTTAAATCACAGGTAAAGTGGAGCTACAGAAAGGATTGCGAGCTGTTTACCACCTAATGCCGCTCATGTGGACCCCGGGATATCTGAACAGAGCCTTGAAAGTAATGGAGGATGTGGCCTTGCTTCCTGAAGATGTGAAGCTTTGCCAGGAAGCAGTAAGTGAAAACACATTTAACCAAATGTGTCCTGATCTATTTGGGACTCAGCAGCTGGGTCGCTACTATTCTTGGCACTGTTTTATATAGGTTGAATATGCATTGAAGTATTTCTTCAATGAATACTAATGTATCAACTGGAACTAAGAGTGTCATACAACCTTGGGCGTGGTGGTGGTGGATGAAAGTGCTACCTCTGCTTTTTCAGCTTTTCAATTGTTCTTTTAAATTCTGTTTTAATTGTGTTTATTAATTATTTAAAACTATGGCTTTTATATGATTTTATTTATTTATTATTTGCAAATTGTCAGAATCATGTCAGAATGATGGGTAGTACAGAAGATAGATAGATAAATAAATGATTTATCCTTTAGAGAGAAAAAATTTCCAGAAAGCCCAAATAAATTCTTTCTTCACCCTTACCTGATTGCTGCTTCTGCTTCTGACAGTTATTGATAATGCAACTGATCTTTCCTATTCCTTGAGTCTAGTAACTCTTCCCGCAGTGCTGAGGGGTATCAACTTCTGGAAAACACATTCAAAAACTCATAATACAGAGCCATTCAAATTTCCATCCAGACAGGCCTTTCATTTACCTGTTATCAAAGAAAGGGCACAGGTACACGATTCTGTTGAAAATCATAGGCAACATGATATCGAAGCCTTCTGTTTCCAAAACAGGAATTCAGATAGAAATTATATAACATAATACATTGTAATCTCTTCTTGCAATTGTTGCAAAGATTCGAACTATTATCAGCAAAGAGCATCTGTGATTTATTTGGAGTCAATAATAAAATCAATAATAATTTCAGAAAGGCCTGGTCTGCTTCATCAAATAGCAGTCTTCAACCATTACACAAACATGAAAAAAACCAAACATTCGTAAAATTTTCATTCTTTTAAAACTATGTGGGTTGTTAAATATTTGTTATATATTGGTGTTTTATATTTTCAGTTTATGTGCTTTCCATAATGTTAAGCCCTTTTCTGCAGTTAAAACCACATGTTTTAGAAAAAACCAAAAATTAAGGTATTACATCCTATTTTCAATCCATTCTGTTGTTCAGATTTAATTCCTAACTTTCATTCAGCTTTTAATTTTAATGTTATGTTCGCAAAATGTTAAGGAAGATGCACAAACTCTGAAAAGAAACCCACACACATAACACTTTTTAATGTTATTTTAAGCCATCCACGACATTTTTTGCTCTTTTGCTGCAAAGGTTGATGTTCTGGCAGACATTTTGCACCCAGCACCTGAGCCCGAGGTTTCTCCAGAAGACCCCAAGGATTCAGAAGAAGCACCAAAGCAGATACCGCCAGAAGAAAATGAGGCGCTTCGTCTGCCTGAATACCTAAACCGTTTCAAGGTATGCAGTTTCCTTCCACTTCTGGTTTTTTTCCCCTCCTGAAGAAATAAGACTTCATGGCTACCCCACTAGTAATGGCACCAAGTTCTTTGGTATTGGTGCTGAGCTACATTCTTACTGTTTCAGACAGGAAAATCATGTTCAGTTCATTTTCCTATTACCTGGTTGCTGAGAATCTGTTTTTGCTTTTCACACCTGCCTTAATAAGTGAAACTCCTAATAATTAAAATGCAATGTCACTCCTAACCTCATGTCCTTTGCATCATATATCTACTGGAAAGTAGATATATGTAATTCTGATTACATTATCAGTGTATGCTGTGTATCACAGCATCATATTTATTCTTTTTAGATCCTCATCATCTCAGAATGCTTTAGATTTATTAGCTTCCTTCCTTTTACTAATTATTGAATGACCTCTTTATGTAAGTGATTACATAGAGCTGATATAGCTTAATGGGTAGAATGTTGGACTACATCTCTTAGATAAAGACCCAAGTTGAAGGTCCGTTTGCTAAAAGACTTTAAAATGTTATCTAATTTCTTCATACAGTAGATTCTGTATGGTTTCTCCTATGTATACTGTCATCTCCTAAGAAAGGCTAGATATACTGTACTCTGTACTGTATATCTTTTAAGGCAGAGGTGTCAAACTCAATTTGATTTAGGGCTGCCTCAGGGTTGTGTTTGACCTTGGGGTACTGGGACGGCGTGCCTGGAGGGGGCCTGGCCAGCTCAACATCACTTATCGAGGCTCTGTTTTCAGCCATGACAGCCTCATACTGCCTTCTGCCAGCTAAAATGGAGCCCAGGCAAGCCATGCACAACCTCCCTGAGCTCTGTTTTTGCTGACAGAGGGCTGCAGGAGGTCATTGCGGCTGAAAATGGAGCCTGGAAGAGCCACGCACAGCCCTCCCGATCTCCATTTTCGCTGGGAGAGGCATCACGGGCTGGTTCTTCATTGTTTCTAGAGCAGTCCTGTGGGCCAGATATAAGCACCCCATGGTCTGGATCTGGCCCATGTGCCTTGAGTTTGACACCACTTTATTAAGGGCTCAATTGAAGTTTAAATAATCAGAAATTACCAGGATTCAGAAAGGATTATAAAACACTGAATGTTTTATCAGTGACCTAAAATATCTCCTTCCACGCGCACAAAGTCCAGCTGACTGGCTCACATGTGTGCACAGGAACACAGAAGAGGAGCCAACAAGGGCGTGCGTCCCATGCAGGATGGCCTTGCGTGCCACTTCTGGCATGTGTGCCATAGATTCATCACCATGGCATGAGGGCATTAAATTAAACCAAAAGAGTAAGGGTGGCAAAAGTCCCAAGTCCTAATATGCATCCAAAGATTAAGACAAAGAAAGCAGAACATAAAGGAGAAGAGGAGATTAGGATGAGTTTTATACAATACCAAGTGTCAGTAGATCAGAATGCTGCTACTTCTGCACTAATACATGGCGATTGTGAAAGAAATAGGGAGAACTAGAGATCCCAATTCAGGAAAACAAAGACAAATATGAAGTGATGGGTATCATTGAAACATTGGGATGATAGTCATGATTGGCACATAGCCATGGCAGTCTTTAGTTTATTCAAAAGTAATAGGCCCAAGAGGAAAGAGGGAGGGATGCTACACGGTACATGAAAGAAAAATGTACTTGAACAGAAATTCAGCAGAGCATGTTGATAGGATCTGGGAATAATGAGAGTTTTATATAGACCACCAGGGCAAGCAGAAAAATAAATAAATGACGCCTTTCTGCATCTGGTAACCAGTTTTCAAAGATGTATGAAGTAACGATGTTGCTTAGTTTTCCGTTATTTTGATAATCTGATGGGAATCTAAGTTTGCCAAGAGTTAGAGGTCCAAATTATTCTTGCCCTCCCTTACTGAGAGCTCCATTGGGCAGAAGGTGAGAAAAACAACTGGGAAATTCTACAAAATGGTATATTACAAGTGCAGACTCAAACAGTTCCCACAAGAAAGAAAAACAGGAAAGAGGCCAACATGAATATATGCAGAATTCTCTAAAACATAAAAGGAAAAATAGGATGGAAGGAGGGGGACGTACCTGAAGAAGATTGCAAGATGGTCTTCTAAAATTATAGGAACTCTGTTAGAATAGTCAAATTTCAGAATGAGCTAAGCTTGAGGAGATATAAAAATAATGAGTGTTCTTGGGTATGCAGAACTACTTGACTCCTGTTTTTGTGACTGTCTTCCGTTAGAAGGGGAATGGAGCCTTAAGTGGTCAGCATTATGCCACGAGAAATAAGGGGAAACTGCAGTATAAGATAGGCAACAGAGAAATAAACTAAATTAAACCAGGGCCAGATAGATTATGGAAGATACTAAGCAAAGGCCATTTCAAAGTAATTTTACTAATATTTGAGAACACTAGGAGTAAAATTTCAGAAGCTGAGAGGAAATCAAATGTCATCCTCATTTTACAAAAGAGAAACTATAAACTACCAGCCTTCAGTCCATCTGAATCAATGAAAGTTATATTTTGGTGATTCAATTATTCTCTTGAATTCCTGGCAGAATTAAAGGTCATATATTAATATGATAGAAAATGATTAACAATGCATTTCTACAAAGAATTAAGAGTCCTTTATTTAGTAGGTTGCAGTCTAAGAAATTTAGAAGACTGGTTTACTGTGCATCTTATTTGACCATATTACTTTAGATAGTTATTAGTTTGGTTTATTGATTATCCCATAGGCCGTATCAAAATACAAATTCCAAGCGAAATGATTAATAAAATTCTATCAAAACAATTTAAAATGAAATTGGCATAAAATACAATGATTTAATTTATAGATAAGTAACATCAGATAAAATCATATTTCAGTATCACCCCTAAAAATCTACCATTATTAAATATCATTCTTATTAAAAGCCAATGCCGGCTAATCCTTAGGTTAATGAATTATATTAATTCATTTACTGTAAGTATCTTTACTGGGAAAAAAATACACATGGAATTTTAAAATTGCTGGTGTTCAAATTTTCTGAGATAGTTTTCTCTGGGGTGTTTCTCTTTTAAGGCAATTAAGTTGCCTTCTGAACATCAAGCTGTCCTATAAAATATCCCTAATTACAAATGACCCTGCATCTTAAAGCACTTAAGTGGATTTTTTTTTTTAATGATTCATCAGTGCAGTGTGTTGCAAGAAATACTGCACCATCTATTTGATGATGGAATGTCCTGTCTGGCCAAGGTCCCTCCTTTCAGCCCACTCTTCTATACCCCGGAGGCAGGATGAAAGCATTTTCAACAGCTGCTTACACAGAGCTGAGCATAACTTCAAAATCACCTTTAAAGAAAAGGCCATATATAGGAATCTACAGCGCAATAGCATAGAGAAGCTGGGATCTCTTCATTATACAATTAATACTTTAATTATTCCCATCTGTTAGCTGTAAAGTTGGCTGAAGTAACTTGGCATAAGTCTTTGCCTCAGCAGGGTGCCTAAGGGTGGGACCAGAGAACTCTAAAACATTGGCATGGCTGGCAAGCCATTTGACAATTTTAGGGCAATGAGCTTTTGTTAAGCTTTGTTAATGCTTTTAGAAGCTCAGCCTACTCCAGTACTTAGCCAAACGAAAAACTAATAAATTTGGTCTCTGCTTTGTATTACTAAATAATATATTTTGGTGTTTTTTTTAAAAAAAAAGCTATATGTCATTGTATATGTTTATGTATTGGATTTATAGGGCTTTCCAATTCAAACAATGTGAATCTGGAAGGGTAGATTATAGCAAAAAACCCAAGATTAAACAAACACAAACAACAACAATACCCCATCGCATAATGCTAAAAAGCCTATCCAATATCTGAAATATAAACCATTTGCTTCATTTTTCCTTTTGGGAAAGGCTGAATGCTCATTTATTGTGGCCAGGGCGATTTCCCAAGAATAAATATGAATCAGCTGTAGTAGGCCTACTTACAAAATGTGAAATTCCAGTTCCAACGGAAGGAAAGATTATATGGCCCAGATTCACTGTTTCTTTTTCTTTCTCCCTCTTATGCCTACCATGACAGGAGCTGAATTCTAAACTCCACTCCCTTGGCAAGGTGGAATCTAGGAAGCTGCTAACCCTGACAACTCAACTTGTTGAAGAGAAACTACCAGCCTCTGAAGAGGAAGACATTACAAAATACAAAGAGAAACTTGAGGAGTGGGAGAAAGAAAAAACGATGCTGATTGAAAGGGAGCAAGAAATGAAAGAAAAAGCTAAGGAAATGATGGAAATTAGAAAAAAAGCAAATGCAGCCACATGATGCTTTTGCTGACAGATGTCCATTATGCCTCAGATTGTCTTGGCAATAAACAGAGTCTCATCCCGTCTTGTACCTTATACAAACTTGGCCTGTCCACACATTAAATCTTTACACAATCCAAGCTATATGTCATCCCCTTCTCCAAAATCTATTATTACTACTGTTCCTCTGAAAGTATACATTACCTCTGTTGTGTCTGAGAACAAAGGTTTGTCATTTTATCAAATAGTTCCTTTCTAAAATGTTGAGGTGAGCAGTGGTGGGTTGCAAATCGCGTTCCAACCAGTACGGTTGGAATGGGGCCGGCAGCATCCTCATGGATGCGCGCAGTGTGCATGCACACACGCATAGTGTGTGCATGCGTTCAAGCGCCTCTGTGATGCTCCAGCTGCTCTGCGGAGCTTTCCGGAGGCGCTGTATGCACCATGCGCCTGTGTGGAAGCGCAAAAGCCTTTAAACTCCGGTAAGGAGCTCAGGTGGGCGGGCAGGCCCTCTGGAGCACCGTACTGAAACGGTATCAGGTGCTCCGGGCTGGCTCTGGTACTCCTGTCTGCAACCCACCACTGGTGGTGAGATAGTACATTCAGAAGAACCATTTCATTGTCAGCTTGTGCTATTTTTTTTATGATAGTTACTGACAAGAATTGCTGATATTTTAGAAATCAGAGAAAACAATAAATGTAATTTGAATGTGTACATATATTCATGCATATTCTGTTATTTCTAGATCAAAGCAGAGTTTCCCAACTTTCCAACTTGGGAGTTAAAAGGTAGTTCAGAGAATCAGAAAAAATCTATTCTGCCATGATCTGTGAATATTAATCTGGACCAGTTCTTCTCAACCCCTGAAATACCATATTTTTTGGAGTATAAGACACACCTCCCCCCCCAAAAAAAGAGGGTGAAAATCTGGGCGCATCTTATACATTGAATGCAGCATTTTTGGCCTCCCGAAACCCCACCCCCTTTGGAAAAATGGCTGTGCATAGCCTTTAGGAGGCTTCCAGACTGTTCCTGGGGGGCTGGGGAGGGCAAAAATGAGTGAAAAATGGAACACTCTGGAAGCCGCCTAAAGGCTATGCATGCCCTTTTTTTGACCAAAAACGGGCCTGTTTTTGAAAAAAAATGGGCCATTTTTGGGAGGTCTGCAGAGTACAAAAACTTTTTTTAAAAATTTGCCTCTTCAAAATCTTGGTCCATCTTATACTCCGAAAAATAGGTCAGATTGCAACTCCTATTACTAATGAATATGAGAGAAAGACGCTGACCTGGACTCTACCTAGGAAGGCACTATACACCTTTTCAACAAAAACATAGTAAAATCTCAATAAAATATGTTCATTTTATATGTCAATCTTCTTGCCAAAGTTGTTGTTTTAAACGTCAAACTAAAAAACGCCATTAGGAGCTAATACACCTGGCGCTGTCCAAAGATGTCTCCGTGGTCATGTGGCGGGCAGGACTAAATGCCAAAGGCGCACGGAACAGGAATGCAATACATTTAGTTCCTGATCGCTGATTAATTGGTTTGTTTGTTTTTAATTAGCATTTTGTATATCATTTTTATAACTTTGTTTACTGGTTTATTGTATGCCATACACTTCCTCATTGTTCAAATTGGGCAGCTATTTATAAACTTTAAGTATACAGGTAGACCTCTACTTATGACACAATTGAGTCCAACATTTTGGTTGCTAAGTGAGACATTTGTTAAGTGAGTTTTGCTCCATTTTACGACTTTTCTTGCTAGTTGTTAAAAGAACTTCTGCAGGTGTTAAGTTAGTAACATGGTGGTTAAGTTAATCCAGCTTCCTCATTGATTTGGTTGTCAGGAGGTCGCAAAAGGACATCACATGTCCTTAGGACATTGCAGCCATCATAAATATGAGTCAGTTGTCATGGGATGCTTAAATGGTCCTTTCCTAATGACAGCAATAAAACCATCATAATTTATTTATTACATTTTTACAGTCCTCATTTCACTTACATACAGCAACTTTTGAGTGGTTTATGATATGATAAAAAATAAAAAAGTACTACAGGACAATTACAATTAGAAGAATTAAATAAAAAAAGTTAAAAATCAAGGTAGCCTGGAAGTGGGAATCTTCTCTATCAAGTCAGATGTCTCCCCTATCAGTGACCCAGACCAAGTGGCAAAACCAAGTTTTCAGGTGTGTGTGTGTGTGTGTGTGTGTGTGTGTGTGTGTGTGTGTGTGTGTGTGTAGACCTTGCCTCCAACAGGAGACTTCCTGAGGGTGGGGCCCACAACAGAAAAGGAATTGCCATCACTAAGCACTAACTCATCTGATGTTGCCCTTTATGTCCTTGATACTTAGCAATGGCAATTCCAGTTCCAATTGTCATTGTTAACCTAAAACTATCTGCATAGTACATTGTTCCATTATGTGCCAGGCAATCTTTGAGAAACATTTTAGAGCAAGAAGGCGACTAGGAAGGAACCTGTTACTTTCTAAGAACAATATTGCATTAGATGTTAAAGAGCAGCTAGGATAAGATCATTTGGGAGAAGTTGTTGCATCAGATACTGAGGTCTAACTTATACTGATTTATGGACTGGACCATAGCAACTACTAATGGGAATTGCCCTCCATCATTCTAGTTTTGTTGGAATTCCAACTTTTATCATTTATTACTGTTATGGTTTCTATCTTTTCTGTTTTACAGAGTCCTACCATCCAATTTGCCTTTGATGTCTTTTATTCAGTAAATGTCACAAATTAGCTGCTTCAGCCTCTCCAAACTTGCTTTTTTCATTCCAGATTTTCTATAAATCTCTATCAAATTATTTGTTTTGGTTTTTTCCTTTTCCCCTCTATTTCCTGTCTTAGTCAAATGATTAGGCAAACAAGCTAAAAAGTAGCCTTTAATCTAGTTAGAGAGAACCAGTTTAGGGTAATAGTTAAGGCAGCAGGCTAGAAACCAGGAAAGTGAGTTCTAGTTCCCCTTTGGCACAAAGCCAACTGAGTATTCCTCCATAAGACACTCTCAGCCCTAGGAAGGTGGCGTTGTCAAGAAACCACATCTGAAAATCTTGCCAAGAGAGCCGCAGGATCTAATCTAGGCAGTCACCAAGAATCAACACTGACTGGAAGGTGTGTATGTACCAAAAATGTGTCTGCATTTTGGAAATGATGTCCTGCATAAACTATGAGTTCAATTTGACATTTGCTTATAACTGAGGGAGAATTCAATTGTGCCACATCATATGACTAAAAGAAAATGTTACCGGCAAGATTTATGACCTGTGACCTTATGATTAGTGATCACTTCGTTTGGTCTTCCGGAGGATTTCCAGCAATGGTTATGAGCTGCATAAATGCTATCAGTAATTGTCATGAAACCCCAAATTCTGTCAGCATTTCACATTAGCTAGTATTGACTCTCAATTGTTAAAGACTAGTGCATATATTTTTCATGTCAGGTTAATAAGCAGAACTGTCAAGATTAGCTATTGTTGCACTGCTGACCTTAACACCACTTCTTCCAGAATATAATTCCTGTTTCAATTTTACATGTATAAATGGTTTCATGCAGTATTGATCTAAAATCTGTTATCGGAAACAAATGTATTGTTTGGCAGTTTAAATCTCACCAGGCTCAAGGTTGACTTAGCCTTCTATCCTTCTGAGATCGATAAAACGAGGACCCAGATTGTTGGGGGCAATATGTCGACTGCATTTGCTTAGAGTGGGCTGTAAAGCACTGTGAAGTGGTATTTAAGTCTTAAGTGCTATTGCTGTTGATTGTTATGTGCAGTTATGTCCAATGAGTTAACACCCAGATAATGTATATAGGATTGCGATTTGAATTTATCAATTCTTGGTTATCAATTTTTTTAAAAACAACATAAGCATCTTATATATATATGGAATTGCATGGTTGTGATTATTTTTAGATGGAAATTGCATCTTTAACATTCAAATGAAAGAAAAGAAAACCCAAACACACATGAACTATTTTAATTTTTTTATTGTGGAACTGAGCTTATTTCCTTTACATCAAATATCCTCAATGGTAGAGGGGATATTGCACACAAATATCATAAAAGCACTACATATTACTTTCACTGGAAACTAATTTTCTACTTTAGATATGACTTGATAGGATAGAGGTGATGAAGGATTATAAGACATAAAACCATACACAGCTGCAGACTGACACAAACAAGACCATTCAGAACAAGAGAGAGGAGTGAGGTGCTTCTCAGCCACGACAAGACTTTCTCTCCATGGTTTGGAAGAATCAAATGGCTGCAGGCCATCATGTGAAAGCATCCTGGACTTTTAGAACTGTGCTTTTTCTGGTGTGATTACAGCCCAGTCTTGTATGAAATAGAACAGTCGCTCTGGGCAAGTAGAGCTCCTAAACTAATTTAGTGCAGAGAAACAATTCCCCCCCAAATGTTCAAGGTTTTGATGCTGCTTTCTTATTTTGTTATTTTTATAAGATCACAACAAATATTTTTGTTTAAAAAAATGAAGCAAACATCCTTAACAAGGCAAGCAATGCAGTTTCCAAATGTATATAAATAATTAGACCAATTATTGTGGTTTCTTCTACTATCAAGGAGCACTTAACAATTTTTTGGTAAATTTAAGTATAACATTTCCCCATTACTAATATTTCTAGACTACAAAATTTTTCTATTATCTGTGAGCTAGAACTTATGTATGGAGAAAATGGCTATGGCCATTGCGCCACTAGTGTCTTAAGCAAGTTTTCATAGCATCATCCACATCACTGAAGTGCTGTAAAATCTGTCCTTATTGTTAATCATGGCACATCAATGTTGGGATGATTCTAGAAAGTGCTTGCTAGTGGAGAAATGACCCATGATGTAGGAAATGCAGGATTAACTCCTTGAAGCTAAACTGGGAGTTCTTGGAATGTTTTCCTTAACTAACAGCTTCTTAGTTCTCTGTTGCAAGGTTCCTAAACCGCTTAATCTATTGAAGACAGCTAAATATATTTGTATACACATTTGGATTCATTCACTACTGTATGTGAAGTTAAACACAAATCATGAAGAAAGATTAATTAAAAACGTAGTAGTTGCAGAAATTAGACCCACCATAGGAAAATGTAAAGGCATGCAAAAGTTTTGTTTTAAGTTTGAATGTGACCTCAACTAAACTGTTGTCACTGAATTTTATTCAGTGGGAAAGTACTATTATAACAGCGCAATGAGGGGAATGTTACCAATGGTAATTTTTTCTGGAATGCATATAGCACTCTTGTTTCTTTAATTAATATTGAATTGTTAATTTAATATTGAACCATGCTTCTAGTAATCTGTGCTGAGTAACAGAGCACAATATCGGTATTCATGGTACTTCAGATTGACTGTCACTATGCTATGTAGGGCTGTGACTAACACAACTATTAGTTCCATTTAATTTAGTCAAGAGGAGCTTCCTAA